AAGCAGCGATTCTCTGCTTCAGGTCGTCTATGCGCTCCGTCAGTTGTTGCGTTATATCCGGCTGGGAAAAACTGATATTTGTCCCAGCAAACGCCATTCTGACGGTGCGTACAATTCTTGGCCTATTATTGCCTGACCTGAAGTTTATCAGTCTGCCGATAAGGGCCCTTGCCTTTGCGATACGGTCCTCAATCCTTCTTCTCCAGGCTGGGATGGCGCTACTTTGTCTAGTAGCGCGTCCAGCCGTGGGAACTTTGGCGCCAATAATGCGGCAAACTGCCAGTGCAGCACCAAAAAGAATTGAGTCCGTCTCGTAAAGGTCCCGGCTGGCTTCCAAGTAGGTCACCAGCATTGGGTTGAGAGCCCTCACGACAGCCCGATTCCGCTTGCTTAGGGGCATGCGCGGGAGTCGCGGTCGATTTTCGAGAGGCATACTGCGCGTTTCCAAAATAGCCTCTTCCAATGTACTCCTCATTTGCTCTTGTTCTAGTTCCTGGGCGACTGTTCCATCATCGTCTGAACCAACCATAACTGAAAGATTCACGGCGGCATCCACGTGTGCTGGTTGCTCTGCATTTTGTGGCGCCGCATCCTCAGCCGTAGCATTGTCATCCGATGAGGGTACAGCCTCACGTCGTAGCCGTTCGAGTTCGGTGCTATCGAATATGTTTGAGCGCAAGATATACCGAACTCGGTCTGACAGGTTTTGTTCGGTGACGGTTATAGATGGCTCCAGCTCAGCAAAAAGTCGATGCATCCTAGCCCGATACGCAAAACCTCCAATTTCTCCCCCTTTCGCCCTAAAATACGCCCGCAATGCATTGCTATTCATCTGCATTGACCAACGCATGCGGCGTACTCCACCAGTGGCGGGTGCTGATTGCTGGGCCCGCGAAGACCCTGCCAACACCAAGCCAGCTGGTGGGGATGATGGATGCGAGGGGCTGCTAGGTGGTCGTGCAGCACCTCGCACTCGGCTGGCGGCCCGCATGCTGTCGCGTCCAGCGCCAGCTCCAGACGCGCCCCGGCGACCCCCAGGCAGCGGCCCTAAACGCAGTCTATTTCCTTCCATCATCCATAAATTGGGCGTCAATTAACGGGAGACGCCCAGGCCCGGCACCGTTTCATGATTTGGCCGATAGCACAAGCGGGCCCAAATTAGCACCCTCAATTCTGCCGAGGCACGGCGCTCACACCTCTTGGCAAGATGCTGACTGACTGTGCTGACGTAGCAGTCTTGTCACATAACCATTACGTCAGCGGGCGATGGGGTCGTCATTTCCCTACGCCATTTTAAACTACATTATTATTATTATTATTATTATTATTATTATTATATTGGCATTCAATGATTCAATATTGTTACAACAGTTTAACTTTGTACGAAGACCCCTGACGTTTTGGTAGTAAAATTCAAAATTGGTATTTTTCTTTAATTGATTTGTTTGTTGTTTTTCGAAACCAAATCCACTCGCCAAATTCGGCAATGATGGACCACACTTCCGGTTGACACAACTTTTCATACACTGACTCTGATACTGCTACGATAAAAGAAGCGTAATCCCTCTCTGTCTTATGCTTAATTTTCTCGATCTTAACATTAGGATCTGAACTACACACGCCTTTGACATGTGATGTTAATTTCTCACTTGTAGTTTTTACTTTAGTTAAACGCCAAACGTGAAGGTGCCGCTTTTTTTTCAGTAGCCTGTATATCTACTAAAACCGTATTATTTCCTTTCTTCACATTTTTTGATCGGATACTTCCCCTTTTCTTATGAACTGTAGTCCACTGACGATATTTATTCATCCTTTTTTCTTAACATAACATAACATAAACACTCACGCCTGTCACCGAGAGGGGTAGGCAGAGATTATGGACTTCCATTTGGCACGATCCTGACACACCTCTCTCGCTTCCTCCACATCCATATACCTACGCATACACGCTCGTCGGTTCAAGGTACTCTTGATTTGGTCCATTTTTAATATATCGCCAATTTGGTCGATAAACTTTCGCCTAGGGCGACCCTTCCCGACTATGCCGTTCACCTCTGCAACATAAATTTGCTTTGTCACTCTTTCCTCATTCATTCTTTCTACATGGCCAAACCACCGAAGCATTCCTTTCTTAATCCTGGTCACAATATCATCTTGCAAACCACACTCTTCTCTTATTAAACAATTTCTCACTCTGTCATTCAGCTTCATCCCTAACATACTCCTTAATGACCGCATTTCTACAGCATTTATTCTACTCTCATGCTTCTTCTGCCACACCCAACTTTCACTACCATACATTAAAGTAGGTACTAACACAGCATTGTGAATTGCCATACGTGCCTTTTTGGACACATTCTGATTTTTCACAATAGAGTGTAGAGCCCCATTCACTCTATTTCCTGCATTCACTCGTCGTTCTATATCCTTATCATATCTACCATCCCTGCTAAACACACATCCCAAATATACAAACTCATCTACTTGCTCTACCAACTCCCCTTCTATTCTTATTTCACATATCGTTTTACTTTCTTCTCTTTCAAAAACCATAACTTTCGTCTTACTTGCGTTCACTTTCATTCCCTTTTTTTTTAATGTCCTGTTCATTAATGTAACCATCATTTGCAACTCGGCTGCCGACGACGCAAGTATGACTTGATCATCGGCGTACAAAAGACATTTGACGGTTAACACACACATTCTTAACCCGCATTCTTCTACTTTCAAATTTTCCAAACAACTGTCCATAAATAGGTTGAACAACCACGGGGAAGCCACACAGCCCTGTCTGACACCTTTATGGATGTCAAACCAGTCCGAGTAGGCCCCGTTCATCCTTACACAAGCACTAGAGTCCCTATATAGAGACTTCAATGCCTGTATCAGACCAGCGCTCAACCCAAATGAGTTCAGTGTTTGCCATAACATATCCCTGTCCACTCTGTCATAAGTCTTCTCCAAGTCCATGAACGCACAAAAAACTTTTTGGTTTTTGGCCAAAAACTTCTCGGCGATCATGCGCATGGAGAAGACCTGATCCGTAGATCCCATTCCCTTTCTAAATCCCGCTTGCACATCCCAAATTTTTCCGTCAGTTTCTTTCATAACTCTTTCAATTAGTACCTTAGCATATACCTTAGATATACTTATATCTCTATCTATTTCCTCTTCTTTCGGAATTTCTATTTCATTTAATTCAAGCGTCTCATCACTCATAAACACGCTTTCAAAGTATTCCTTCTATCTCTTTAAACTCAAAACTTCGTCATTCAGAATACAGCCATTCTGGTCTCGTATAGCATTCATTCTAGGCTGTTGTGAATGTCCCCTGGTAGTTCTTACGAGTTTCCAGAACATTTTAATGTTTGCCTGGAAGTTATCCGATATTCTTCTATCATTCTTATCCGTTCTTTCTTGCTTTTTCCTTTCAACTACTTCTTTTACTCTCTTATTTAGGTGTCTAAAAACTGCCTCTTTCCTTTCAATATCATCATTCATACTGCTAGAATTACTAGCCTTGGTTGCTAGTAAATCTAGCCATGCTTTCTTCTTTGCTTCAACTTCCATCCGTACCTCATCATCCCACCATAACGTGTTATTTTTCCATTATTCGTTCTCTTACTTACACCACATACTTCGGTAGCTGCATGCACTAAACCTTTCTTGACATTATACCACACAGTCTCCAAGTCTAAATCATTCATACACAATTCAGCCATACCACTTATATTTTCTCTCAATCTACATTTGAACTTCTCTTTCACACCTTCATCTTGTAACCTCTCTGTTCTTATACGCTGTAACGCTGTGGTAGACACAGATGTCCGATACCTCCAACGTCTGAAAAGACCATTAATTCGGCATAAGACCAAGTAATGATCCGTCCCTACGTTAGAGCCCCGGTAAACCCTTGTATCTATCACCGCGCTCCTCATTCTTTCATCAACAATTATGAAATCTATCATACTTCTATCATCACCTCTTTCCCATGTATACGTGTGAATCTTCTTATGACGAAAGAAAGTGTTTGTCACAACAAGATTCTTTTCCACGCATACGGCGAGAAGGCTTTCACCATTCTCATTTATACTTTCATCACCAAACGTTCCCAATATCCTTTCATAACCAAGCCTCCTCACCCCAACCTTCCATTAAAATCGCCTAATATCACAATATTTTCATTAACCTTGCATGTCATTAGCACCATCCTTACCAACTCCCAAAACTGCTCTCGGATATAAGTGGGCTTAGACATGTCTGGGGCGTAGACCCCTAAAACAAACAACTTCTTTAAGCCCACTTTCATTCGTATCCATATTCTTCTTCTTTACTAATATTAATATTTAACTCGTTCCTCGGAATTACCTCTGACTGTGGTTGATTAATTAATTGAGACTGGACAACGAACCCTCTCCCGGTCGCTGTTTTCGTGGCCGCACGCGTCTTTGTTAGGTGGCGAGTAATGTTTGTATTGTTAAGGGCGCGTACAGATCAAATAACATGTTATATAACTTTTGTTTTATAACACGTCCACATTATGTAACATTGTTTTACAACATTGCAACATACAGCAATACTGTACATATTAGAATAATAATAAAATATAACAATGTTATATGACATGGTCGTTTGTCGTTGCCCGCGCGACGCCTCCGTCGCATCTCGAGATATATAACATTCGTTTTATAACATTCAGCCTCCACATTACTGAAACATGTTATATAATGTGTACACACCGTAACGTTATTTAGGCTTATATGAGTCACATCAGCGAATGTAGTTGGGACATCTATTTGCTTAGATATTTCGACGCCTGTATTCAAACTTTCCGGTATGCTATCAATACTTTCAAACAGTTGATTTTGAGTTGACAACAAATCCGTTTTGGCAAACTTATCTTGAAATACGTTCATTTTAATCTTGAGTTCTTCTAATTCCGTTATTGTAGAAAAACATATTTCTTGAAGATGTTTAATAATGTTAGTTTGCACGTCTAATTAGCTTAATACTTCATATTTAAACTGTCTAAACTCGGACAAAAAATTATCATCTCTATTATTACTATCACACTCAATAATTGATTCATCCATCAATTTCTTGCGGCTTCCCAGTTGAGTGTTGACATTGGCTCTGGGCGTGCATGTTTTTAGCTCCGGGATGCTCCTGACAGGTGTATGCGAGTCATAGCGTTTAGGTTTAGGTTTAGAAGAAACGCACTCCAGACAGACCCATTGCTTCGTGTGTTTTTCCGAGAAGGAACTGAATTCATTTTGTGTCACTCCTAGGCAATTTAAATCATAGACTTTTTCGCACTGTTTTTTGGAACATATCATGTAAAAACCATCAGACACTTGGACACCACAAGCCTGACAATCTACAGACATTATAACTATTTTTAAAGAAAATAATACACAAGCGCAACAAACACGTCAGTTCTGACGTTTTGACGTTTGATGTATTTTATGATTTGAGATAATTTCAATATTGAAACGAGGCATTCCACTCTTTTGAACTCGGACTTCTTAAGCATGTACCAGATGGATGTAATCGGCGTCCCAACAAAGCTGACTTTGGTGGGAGCTTAGTTTCCATTCGCGGATTGTGTTTCGGCTACACGGTCGAGCATCACTTTGAATTGCGCTCGCGAGGAGTTAAGTTGTAGAAATGGCTCCTAATTTGTCAAAATTTCAAAAGGTGGGCTTTGCTTTAGCAGAATTGTGACTGATTTGTGACAACTGAAGACGGAAAACAAATAAAGAAGAGAAAGTGGATGAAAACTGGTTATAGGCCTAAGAAGTTTTTGTATTTATATATAATATATATATAAGCATGGCAAATCTCTATAGATATCAATAAATTCACTTATAATTTCGCGTTCGCTTTGCTGGTCCGTGGATGACATTTTGCACCCCCATACGTGCGCACCCGCTGCCTGCCGCAGCAATAATATCTTTGGTAGAGATGCAACGATATAACGAAACAATATATCGAAAGAACCCGCCCAAAATAGAAAACCCACATCTACAGAGGATGAAGATAAAGGTGAATTCTACTTTTAGAAGCACCATAAATCTCTAGCTCAAACACAAATAAAAATAAAAAATCCGATGGCGACGACGAGTTTACGTTATACCTTGCTGCTTCTCTAAGCGTTATAAAAGTAAACGTTCTCAAAATTTAGCAAGAGATGCAAGTTGTATATTCCAATCTGTTTAAAGTGGCAATGAGTCACTTACCAATTGTGACAAAAAACGTGCCTATTTTCAGAGGCAGGAACGACAATAACTCAAAGCCGAAACCGGCTACATAAAAGTACAAACGGCGGGTACAAAATACTGGGTTTAAAGATTTTTTGAAAAACTTATGATATAACAATAATAAAAAGTAATTTCTATTTCATCATGTTGGATAATGAATTTTCACAGATAAGAAATTACATAATCAATGAACGTTTGATAAAGGGACGTTTTAAAGGAGACGGTCCATTTCTGGCCCAGTCTATGTACAATATATCGTAAAAAAAGGGAAAAATTCAGGGATTTTGTTAAAAATAAAATGAGAGAATAAATCAAAATAAATAACTTGCAAAAAATAAAAATGCAATCCCAAGTTTCTGATGGTTTTACAAGATGGTGCCCTTCCAGTCATAAAAAATTTAAAAAGACACGGTTATTTGTCAATTGATATTTTTATTTATTTCGAGCTTGGTTGTGTAGTTTAGAACTCTAGTCTTTACTTGTTTGACTCTGCTTTTGTTTTTGGACTTAATGATTTACGTAAGATTTTGATTTCGTTGATATCGGACATCTGTATTCTGTAGAATGTAATTATCTTTCAATTCACCTGTTAAAACATGTTCCACTGTTTAAAATGCGCTTCTACTATATAGATAGTTTATTAAAATAAGATTGTTTTGTTCTAGATGGATGTAAATGCACCAATATGTCCACAATGTTTTGCAAACGTATTACAAGAATTATCTGTCTGCACAAATCTTGAAAATGAGCTCCAGCGCCCTAATGCCAATACTATCAGTATATTGTATGTTTGGTGTCAACGAAGACTGGGTAGCAGATAAGTTGTGACCAAATTAATATCATCCCAACAAGACTCTGTTTTAATAAGAGGCCGTATAACATCTCGCCATCACTCGGGCAGAGCTTATTATACATATTATATACTGTTGGCGAGACAAGGGACAAGTTGGGATGAGATGATTGCAGGTTATTATTGTAGTTGCTCTTCTGGACAACAGACAGTGGGTTGCTGTGCCCACATAATAACCGTTGTCTGGTATTTGTGTTGGGCTCGGTATAAAAATTCTGTAACCGCACCTGCCTCAATTCTGGATGGCATTTTAGTAAGAGAGGATTTTGAAGTAGGATAAATAAATAAAAAATAAGAAATTAAGCTGTTTTATTTATGTTTAGTATCCAAAACATGATTGACATAATGTTTCACTTTCTATAATTCATAGGACCTTTGTTATGACATTATCCAGGCTTCAAATGTCTGTCACGGCTCAAGGCATATTCTGACACGCTGAGGACCTGTTATATGAAAATATTTGTAGGCCGGAAACGTTAGGATAATTAGGATGCCAATTCTTTTGTAACAACTGTAATGTACCATATTATAACAAATAAATTATATTATCTATGATTGTACCCTAGAATTTCAGCAGCCCAGATAGACACATATTTTTTTTTTCATTCATTACAGCCCTTCACAAGTCCACTGCTGAACATAGGCCTCCCCCAAAGTATGCCACAAAGCACGGCCCTGAGCCACCTGCATCCATCGACTTCCTGCATGTCTTACCAGGTCGTCACTCCATCTCGTGGGGGGACGCCCTACACTTCGCCTACCGGTACGAGGCTGCCACTCGAGAACCTTTCTTCCCCATCGGTTGTCGGTTCTTCGAGCTATATGGCCGGCCCACTGCCACTTTAGCTTACTAATCCGTTGGGCTATGTCGGTTACTCTGGTTCTACTGCGGATATCCTCATTCCTAAGCTTATCACGCAGAGAAACTCCGAGCATAGCCCTCTCCATAGCTCGCTGAGCGACCTTGAGCTTCCTCATACGGCCAGCAGTGAAGGACCACGTCTCAGTTCCATAAGTCATCACTGGCAACACGCACTGGTTGTACAATTTCGTTTTCAGGTTTTGAGGTATGTCTGACGAGAAGATGTGTCGTAGCTTCCCGAACGCTGCCCAGCCGAGTTGAATCCGTCGATTGACCTCTCGGTCGAAGTTGGACTTACCTAGTCGGACTATTTGTCCCAGGTAAACATACTCGTCAACAACTTCGAGCTTAGTGCTCCCAACAACTACCGGCATAGGTGTGACATGAACATTGAACATGATCTTTGTTTTGTCCATGTTCATCTTAAGACCTATCCGTTGGGAAACACTATCGAGGTCATTGAGCATAGTGCTTAGGTTCTCCAGCGATTCTGCCATAAGGACTATATCGTCGGCAAATCGAAGTTGAGAGATGTACTCGCTATTGATGTGGATACCGTATCCTTTCCAGTCCAGAAGCTTGAAAACGTCTTCCAATGCAGCGGTGAAGAGTTTCGGGGATATGACGTCACCCTGTCTTACACCTCTCTGCAATTGGATAGGTTTCGTACTCTGGTTCTGTACTCGGATAGCCATCGTAGCCCTACTGTACAAGCACTTCAACACTTTGATATACCGACAGTCAACTTGGCACCGCTGAAGGGACTGCAGCACCGCCCAAATTTCGACGGAATCAAAGGCTTTCTCATAGTCCACATACGCCAGATATAGTGGCAAATTGTACTCTTCGGACTTCTGTACAATTTGCCGAAGGATATGTATGTGGTCTATGGTGCTAAAGCCCTTTCGGAAACCGGCTTGTTCGGGAGGCTGGAAGTCGTCAAGTCTGCGCGCGAGACGATTCATAATGACTCTCGAAAACAGCACGTAGATGTGGCTCAGAAGGGAAATCGGTCTGTAGTTCTTCAAGAGAGCGTTGTCACCTTTCTTGAAGAACAAGACCACCGCACTTCTGCTCCACGCCTCCGGTGTAATTCCACCATGGAGGACGGAATTAAAGAGCTTCTGAAGGACTTCAAGTACCGGTTTTCCACCCGCTTTCAGAAGCTCCGCTGTAATTCCATCCTCGCCTGGGGCCTTACCGTGTTTAAGGTGCTGGAGAGCCATTTTTATCTCGCTCAGATTGACGTCCGGGATATCTTCGGAATAGTGTCGGATGAGACTCGCTCTTGGATCGTTACTCACACTTGCGTGTGGCTCCAACGATACCGTGTACATCTGCCCATAGAACCTCTCAATCTCACTCAAAATCTCAGGTGTCCCGGAAACGATGCTGCCACATTCTGTCTTCAGCTTTGACAGGTGGCTCTTTCTGGCAGACAGATCTCTGGCAAAGACTTTGGAGCCTTGGTTCCGCTCGATCGCTTCTTCAATACGAGCTGTATTGAAGTTGCGTAAGTCCCGCCGCATACATTTGGAGAACTGTCTGTTCAGATGCCTGTATGCTGTCAAGTCTGTTGATGAATGTAGCTTCATCTCCCGTCTAATAGCCATGAGATTAAGAGTGTGATCGGAGAGTTTTTGTGTTCTTCTGCGGCGGGTCTTGCAGAACTTAGCTCCGACCGCATGGACAGTTTCCACGAGCTTGTCATTTATATCGTCCACTTCATTGCAGTCTTCTAAGCACTGAAAACGGTTTTGTAACTCGAGCTGAAAGGTTTCGGGACTTTGGAACAGAGCACGAGGGGGACGGAGCGTTGACTTCATTAGACGAGACCTCTCCAACTTAACGTTTAGGTTCAGTGTGCCTCTAACCATTCGGTGATCGCTACCAGTTTTCACCCTCGCGATCACGGAGACATCACTGAACAGTTGTCGTCTGGTCGTCATAATGAAGTCAATCTCATTTTTTGTCGAACCGTCGGGGCTCGACCAGGTCCACTTCCTGTGGGGCCGCTTCTGGAAGAAAGAGTTCATCATAAAGAGTCCCTCTTTCTCCATGAAGTCGGCCAGCTGCTGGCCCCTTGGGTTCCCTTGCCCTATTCCAAATTTCCCTAATTTCAGCTCACCGTTCTCTCTTGTGCCTAGTTTTGCATTGAAGTCTCCCATTAACACCGTATATTGGGTTTTGGAAGAATGCATGGCTCTAGAGATATCCTCATACATTTCCTCCACCTCCTCATCGGGGTGTGCCGAGGTTGGTGCGTAAACCTGTATGACCTTCAGCGAATACCGTTTGGTGATTCTGAATATAAGGTACGCAACCCTCGTCGACACACTCCCGATCTTTACAACGTTGTTAACGAGAGACTTGTGGACGATAAATCCGACACCTCCTTGGAACAGATGGTCGCCC